AATTAATGGGTATGAAATTCCTTCTCTTACCTCCAGTGAAAAGCACTGGCAGTTTTCTGATGAGGTGAGATACACATAATGCAACTTTAAAGCACATACAAGGAAAGCAAGCGTAACATGACTCAAGACAAAAATTTTTAACCAGAAGAGTTATAAAAACACCACTCTGGGCCATATAGAGCACAGGATGCATAATACAGTATTTTAAAAAGATTTAAAAATAGCACATTACATATAAAAAAATTTTAATCCGACTCTCACATTAGAATAGCGTGTCAGAAAAGCGAAAACTGGACAGGCAAATCTTGTCCTCGAAAGTATGTTTAATAAACTAAATCCTTTAAAAAGTCGCAGTACAGACTATATATCCTCAAGCACAGAGCTTGTTTGTGTTTCTTTATCACAATAAGATCCTTGTTCTATTCCCAGAAGTTAACAAGTTCAACAACTTTAAAAAAATTATTGCTGATTTAGACTTACCTTACCCTACCAAATGTAGTACTTCAAAAATCAAAATTAGAATATCAATTATGTCCCTTGCCCTTGTGAACCAAACAAAGGAGATGAAAATTAGCTTGGGTAAAAGAAATGATACAGCCATTACAGTCTAGATACATAGCAAAAAATGCTTTACATGTTGAGAGTAGTTTTATTCAACTGAATCACAAGAAAAACAACAACAACAAAAATAAATGGAATCGTTCTGATTCGTTTCTGCTTCCCTAGACTGATTCAAGATAATTTTCTTAGATTTCACAGATAACTGTGATTTTTCTTTTTTACCATGCCCTGTGTTGATTCTGCTTTAGATGCAATATTCCATTAATGAGGAGGTCTAAACTGTGAGGTACCATTGTGTAACCAGAGGCTTACAGAGTTAATTACATGACATTCTTAACCAATGATGTATTTCAAAGAACTTTATAACAAGTATAAGGTGCTAAACAAATGTAAGTCATATATTATCATAAAATAGCAATTATTTATAAAGCAATGTGTGTATATCTATGCATTTGTCTTTTATATAGGAATTTATGTTTATATTAAAGAGTTTTAAATATACATATTTAAATGTTTTTCCTGCTTATACTCAGTAACCCATAGATTAAGAAGAGTAAAGTAATTTCCTGTTCAGATTCAGACAGATGCTTCTAAACAGTGAGTTGTATGGATCAGGCTAAGAACAACACTTGAAATCATAATTACAAGAAAAAAAAATCTAACTATATGATGTATTAGACTCCAAAAACAAGCAGTCTTCAATTTATGAAGAGATTGCTTTCCAAAATTTTACTTGTTGGATCTGCTACATAATATTTTTCTGTAGATATGTGGCTAGCTTCTGAACTTGGTAGATAAGAGTCTACTAACTTATAACAAATGTAAACTATAACATGATATTAACTGTAACTAATCTTCATCTTTATGAATGCTTTCCTAATATTGGAAACCAGCTGTCTGGTCTCCCTCATCCTTTCTGCTGTGTACCTTTAACGAATTTTCATATTAAATAGTTTGCATAGGCCTCCTCTCTCATTTATCAAAGTTCCTCCAAAAATAAACCCAGAGTTTAATACGGAATTCCAGATGTGGTTAGACTAGAGCAGAGTGTAGGGGAATTCTTATCTTCTGTGACCTAGACATGGTACTTCTGCTGGTATGGCAAACGCCATGAGCTATTTCAGTGGTCATGTTACTCTATTTTTACAAATGAATTACTATAATTGAGACCAGCCTGGGCAACATAGCAAGACTTCTGTTTCTAAAAAAAATTAAAAATTAACTGGGCATGGTGGGCACCTGTAGTCCCATTTACTTGGGAGGCTGAGGTGGGAGGATCGCTTGAGCCCAGGAGTTTGAGGCTGCAGTGAGCTATAATCATCTCCAACCTGGGCAACAGAACAAAATCCTGTCTGCAAAGTAAAAATAAAAATACTAAGAAGAATGAGTTGGCGAAACATCCAAAGCACAGTGTAGCTAAAGTTCTAAGTATGCTGAGTTTAGGTCCAGAAACAGACAAAGCAGCATTTAGTTTAGATTTTACAGGACAATAAACAGAAGTGTTTCAGGCAGGGAAGCCAAATCTAGTTCACTTCCTGAAAACAGGTATACCAAGGGGCTTCCACATTCATGAAAGGAGACAGAAAAATGTTACTACTAAAGGTTGCCTGTGGCTATTTCTCATATGAACCTGTGTGCCTAGAGAGGTCAAATTGGACCCAAACTTTCAACCAGAAACTGAGCAAGGGATAAGGAATATTTCACACTTGGGACAGTTGCTAAAGCTGGGGCTTGTTGGGTAAAGAAGCAAGCATGCTGGAGAAGGACAGTCTTCTTGAGAGAAGAGAAAACAGCCAAACTTGGTTGGACACAGCGTATCAAATTTGAATCAGAATAAATCCCAAGCACAAAGATAATCATCATGAGTGATTCTCTCACACAGGAATTTTGCTCAGTAAGAAAGCCAGGGCCAGGCTGGAAAATGGAAAAGTATCTTCCAATCCCACTGTCTCTTAGTCTTATGATCTCATGGGTTCTTTACTGGTGGTGTTGAAGCTCCACAACCTCAAAATCTCTGCCGTCCCACATTTTGGTGTGCTGTCTCTCAGTCCCACTGTCCCACATTCTGATCTCACAGTCTCACAGCGACACTCCCACACTCTTCAAGTCTCCCAGCCCTAAGTACTCAAAGATGATTGCAGCTTTGCAATTACACATTCTCACACTCTCACGGTTAAGCAGTCCCGCGGTCTCAGTTATGTTGGCCAATTTGAAATTGGTAATCACATGTTGATAATGATGGTAACTGGCCCAATTACATGATTTTCTTCTGCAACATTCACCTGCCAGACTATAGTCATGAACAAAATGGATGAATGCTCCTCTCAGGGTTGAGAATTCATTAGGCAGATTCCATGGAAAGAAAGAGAGTAGATGGACTTGAAGGTATTTAAAATGCAGTGTGTGCTGTGCAACATATCCATGGAGCAGAACTGCACTTGAACCCCTTGCATTTATACAAACAAAAAATGCATATCCAAAAAAATGGAGTAAGTATAATGATAGATCATGGAGTTAATATGTGCAATAAGGGAACTGAAGATAGCAAAAGGCTGGTGGATAGAAAAAAGAGTGAGAACAATGGGCAGGGAGCCAGATGGGGTCACAGTGCGAGCGAACTGGAAGAAGAGGCCATCTGGGGTCCCAGTCAGTGTCTGAGACAATGAATTTTGAGACGGCACAGTTTCTGATCATGCCAGAGAGCACTGTTTGATTCTGGGCATTCTTGGTTGAGGTGAATATAATGATATAATTACTCTAAACGATGAAGTTATTAATTTAATAAGTAACTAATGACCAACTGTGTTTTCAAAATGAAGTGGTTAAGTGGTTTCATGAGTAGCTAGTGGCTGGTACATAATTTTGTACATTCCTGTTTAGAATAGGTGATGCTTTTCATTGTAAGTTACCATTTTGTACACTGTGTTACCCTTCTGTCAGCTTAATCCCTTGGTAGACTAGCAGCCTCCATTGTAGCTCTTTGGAGTAGGGAATGGGAGGGCAGTAGTGGGGAGATGGTGAGGAGTGAGGAAAGTGATAGATTTTAGCTGTGGCCAGTGATTCTTCCAGCTGTGCTCTGAAGACAGGCTTTTTTTTTTTTTTTTGAGACGGAGTTTCATTCTTGTTTCCCAGGCTGGAGTGCAATGGCGCGATCTCGGCTCACTGCAACCTCTGCCTCCTGGGTTCAGGCAATTCTCCTGCCTCAGCCTCCTGAGTAGCTGGGATTACAGGCACGCGCCATCGTGCCCAGCTAATTTTTTGTATTTTTAGTAGAGACGGGGTTTCACCATGTTGACCAGGATGGTCTCGATCTCTTGACCTCGTGATCCACCCGCCTCGGCCTCCCAAAGTGCTGGGATTACAGGAGGCGTGAGCCACCGCGCCCAGTTGACAGGCTTTTTAAGCTCCTGACTTTTGTTTGGACCCCTCATGTCCCCACTTGAAAATCTAGTATACAAAAAAACCTTGTATTATAGTTTGTTACTCTAATCTTTTAGAATTTTAGGAACTGGGGGCCAGATGGGGTGCATACATAGAACTATATGGTGACTGAAAATGACAGCTGACTTCAAATAGGCAGGCAGAACACAAACACGGATTACATTTTAAAGATGTTTTGGATTTAGGGAAAAAAAAGTTGATTCTTTGGCACCATGTGGGACAGCAGTACATTTGACGGCCCAAAACATGGCTAAATCAGAGCTTGTGTTTACAGCAGAATTCCTGTTGTGAAACTAAACCCCTCCACAAGCCTTCTCCTCAAAGTTCTCGTTGGCTTCCTGAATGGGCATGGCCTGTTGGGCAGCTGAAGTTAAACAGGGGGTGATGTCAAATTCCTGTTCTCTTTGATCAGCTGTGTTCTGTCACACCTGTGGTCAGGAAGTTGGCCTCATCCATACTCAGTCCTCAACATTCCTGGCTAAATTGTCCAAGCATGTATTCCAACCTCACAGAAATTATCTTTTCTTCTCTTTTGGGGAATCATTCTCAAATTTCTGATTGGCTTCTCAGTTTGGAGCAGAACTCAGTTTGGTCATTGGTTTTAAAACTACTAGAGTTTCTTTTTTTCTTTTTCCTTCAAGATTAAAACCAGAAATCATCTAAACAAGTAACAAAATTAAGTTTAGGAAGGTTACAAGGCCAAATGAGACCATGGTGATACATTACTGATTTGGAAGACATATTGAGTTTTCTTCCTAATACAACAACTGACTTATTGTACATTCAGAATATTTATTCTAAAATAAGAATACCTGTTTCCTATCTAATTCATAAGGAAATGTTGATCATACATTAATATGAATTACACTAATCACTTCTTATGAAAATGCAAATATAGCTGAATGTCTTTTTTTCTTAATAAAAAGTTTTAAAAAGTTATTAAAGAAAGGAGACAGAATTAAGGAAATTAGTCACTATCTTGTGATATTCACAAAACAAATAATATTACAAATGCAGTGATAGTTTAAGAAAAAAATGATTCTTACAAATGTTAGCAAAAGGCATGAAAACAATTGTGTGATATGAGACAATTACATCTTTATATAAATTTTTATATTTTTCAGTATCTTCACAAAGCACAAATTTGAGTTTACTTTCTGCAGCGGAGAGTTTTGCTTCTTAAGAACAAAGAATTTAATACGTGAATTTTTACCAGATTCGGATGCATTCTTTACATCACGACTTCATAATACTGAACACCTGTTCAACCACTCTTTTTCTCCAAAAATGTGTTTGATCATTTGGCTTGAAAGAAACAGCTTTTCACTTCCATTTACAAATCTCTCACATTTTTCACAAAGAAGTTATTCGTCTGCAACTACACTTACAGCTCTTGAAATTTACTACATAACATCACTACAGAGGTTGAATCTTAGGATCTCTGTCCTTTTTAACAATCTTAATAGGGAAAAAGAACTTTTCTTAGACCTTAATACAGAAAACAACTGGTAAATGTTCAAATAAAACTTCTTAAAAATATGCAGATCATTTTTTATGATTAGTTCACTTTACTTTGACCTTTTGTTCTTGGGTTCTTGATAGACTAAAAAAGATTGTGTGGCTTTCTAAGGGAAGATGCTTATTTTCTGTCTTAAATTCTTTTGAGTTTTATAAAGATCATAAAACGGACTCACATTTCACACTCCGATTTTCCAATCAGATAATGAATGGACAGATAATTTTTAAGCTGGAAAAACATATCTGTTTCAACTAGGACATTTTATTTATCAACAATAAGCTATCAATGACCATTACATACTTACTTTCTCCAAAATGAAGTCAAGTTTTAAACTTTTTAAACTGAAACACTAGTCTACTACCAAAAAGGTCAATATTTCTTCTTATAAAAATCCTACAGTTCATTTGTTTTATGCATTTAATAAAAAAATAATTTCAGTGCAAAGGCAATGCCAACTTGTGAATATTTATTTCTCTCAATTATCACATAATTCATTACTGAAGTCTTCGATTCTGCTACTTGGTTACCTAGCTCCATCACTGGTAGGTAGCTTTAAATGTTTCCCAGAAAGAAAAGACATACTAGGGCTGAGTGTGGCAACTCACGCCTGGAATCCCAGCACTTTGGGAGGCCGAGACGGGCAGATCACTTCGGGTCAGGAGTTCGAGACCAGCCTGACCAACATGGCAAAACCCCATCTTCACTAAATATACAAGAATTAGCCAGGTGTGGTGGCACATGCCAGTAATCACAGCTACTTGGGAGGCTGAGGCAGGAGAATCACTTGAACCTGGGAGGTGGAAATTTCAGTAAGCCAAGATCTAGTTACTACACTCCAGCCTGGGCAACAGAGCCAGACTCTGTCTCAAAAAAAGAAAAAAGAAAAGATGTACCACATTCATTAGAAGCAATTTTCACAATCCTTTTTTTTTAAGAGATACATCTGAAAATGTGTCCTAATGTGTATGATAACAATATAAAAAATGGATAACATCTGTTTTTGAAGAGTTGACATTTCACCGTGTCCACACCACATGGACACATATATACATGGCGTACTCAGGTTTCATGATGCCTGATAGACGTGGCAGGGGCTCTGAAGTAGCAGTAATTTATCTAAAGGCATAGCTGGTGCTTTCTTCCCTTTCATGTGGCTCTCAGCTAAAATTAACAATGGCTGGTTCCTGCAGCATTACCGTCAGTGCCATTAATCCAAACAAAGATGTTATTTATTTCAAAATGATGCCAAATCCTATGACTCATAAGTTAACAAGTTTAAAGTTACTTGCAAAAGCATTGTATGCAAAAACAATGTAGAAATGCTTCCGTACAAAATAAAAGGCAATTCCTTCCTAGATAGCTGAGTCATTAACTTACCTAAATAGGAAAGGGGCAGTGACGGGGAGAAAGAAAGGACTATATTATTAGGTATGATCTCGTCTTCTAGTTCCACTGTTTTATTGCAAGTTGGATGCTCCAAGATATTCAAAAAACATTTCCCATCCCTACTCTCCCTCAGAATTTATAACCTTATTAGAAGGCTAGGTATGGTGGCCCAGGCCTGTAATCCCAATGCTTTTGGAGGCCAAGGTGGGAGTATCACCCAGAGCCAGGAGTTTGAGACCATCTGGGGCAACAGAGCAAGACCCTATATTGATCTGAAAAAATTAGGCAGGCATGGTAGCTCAGGCCTGCAGTCCTAACCACGCTGGAGGCTGGGGCAGTAGGACTGCTTGAGCCTAGGAAACTGACACTGCAGTGAGCAAATATGCCACTGTGCTCCAGTCTGGGCCACAGAGTGAGACCCTGTCTCTAAGAAATACATGTATAAACAAACAAACAGACTTATTAGAAAACAATTTTAATGTATCTAAAAATAATAGAACATACAAAATATTCATTGAAAATGCTAAATTTAATATAACCAAGTGGGAAACGTTTTGGATGGGAATATAAAGACAAGGCCATTAAAAAATTCCAAGTACACGTAACCTCCAAGGACATACATTTACATGTATCTTTGGCCATATTATTTTTCACTAATCCAAAAGGCAGTTGGTTGTAAAATAAACTATTATTTCATGTACCACCAAGAAAATCACCACTAATTAACCTATGATATAATGTTACTGATAAAATAAATCCTTGGGGAGCTATGCTAAAATTTCTACCAAAGGGTTAGAGGTAACTATTTTCTCTCCCTATGTGAAAGAACATTTTAGAAAGGCTTAAATAAATTTATTTTGAGACAGGGTCTTGCTCTGTTGCCCAGGCTAGAGTGTGGTGGTGCAATCACGGCTCATTGCAGCCTCAACCTCCCAGGCTCAAGCAATCCTCCCACCTCAGTTTCCAGAGTAGCTGGAACTACAGGCATGCACATTTTTTAAAAAAAACCGGCCGGACGCGGTGGCTCAAGCCTGTAATCCCAGCACTTTGGGAGGCCGAGGCAGGTGGATCACGAGGTCAAGAGATCGAGACCATCCTGGTCAACGTGGTGAAATCCCGTCTCTACTAAAAATACAAAAAATTAGCTGGCCCTGGTGGCGAGTGCCTGTAATCCCAGCTACTCGGGAGGCTGAGGCGGGAGAATTGCCTGAACAACAAGGAGTTGGAGGTTGCGGTGAGCCAAGATTGTGCCATTGCACTCCAGCCTGGGTAACAAGAGCAAAACTCCATCTCAAAAAAAAAAAAAAATTGTGGTAGAGAAGGGGTCTTCATATGATCCCCCAGCTGACCTCAAAATCCTGAGCTAAGGCGATCTTCCCTGCTTGGCCTCCCTAGTGCTGGGATCACAGTTATGAGCCACTTTGCCCAGCTTTGAATGAAATTTTTGTTTCAGTCAACCTCATTGTTCCTTAACACTGGAAACTTAATTGCATAAATAAATTATGATATATCCATACAATATAATACCATATAGCCAAAGAAAACTAGACAGGGACATGGAAAGACAATATAGAGAGAATTAGAGACTCACTAGTCATTGGTAGGAAGAAGGAGGAGGAGGAGGAGGAGAAAAACAACTTTTGGCTCTTAATAGCAGTTATCCCAAAGTGCTGAAATTATAGTGATTTTTCTTTGGTTTTCTTTAGTTTCTAAAACTTACATAATGAACATGTAAGCATACACAAACTCATTTAATTCTTGAGGCTTACAATTTTTCGTAGCAGATGCCTTACAAAAACAACTCTCTATTACTTGCATTTCTCAGACCTGGGCACTAGCCACTAAGCACATGTAACTATTTAAACTTTTTTTAATTTTTATTTTTTATTTGAGACTGAGTCTCTCTCTGTCTCCAGTGAGTGGGGCAATCTTGGCTCGCTACAACTGCAGCCTCCTGGGTTCAAATGATTCTCGTGCCTCAGCCTCCCAAGTAGCTGGGATTACAGGTGTGCACCACCATTCCTGGATAATTTTTGTATTTTGCAGAGATAGGGTTTTGCCATGTTGGCCAGGCTGGTCTTGAACTCCTGGCTTCAAGCTATCTACTTGCCTCGGTCTCCCAAAGTGCTGGGAGTACAGGTGTGAGCCACCACACCTGGCCTAAACTTTAATTAAAACTGAATATAAAAATTCAGTTCTTTGGCCCTACTAGTCACATTTCAAGCACTGAGTAGCCATATGTGGGTAGTCGTTGCCATATCTAAATAATACCTTTTCATCATCATGCAAAGTGCTATTAGAAAGAGTTGCCCTGACCATGGTTTGACTGGGATCTGTGTAAATAATGAGATACTATTCTTAAACATCATAAATGTGCTTTCTTTCCTCTTGCCTTTCTGAGCACATGATCTCCATCATATTCTACTCCTGAAGTACCCTCTGCCTTGAAAGAATGAGATTTGTTGTGAAAGGATGCAAGGTGGGAGACGAATATAATATCAGCTTCTGACCCTGAAAAACAGGATTTTTTTTAACAATAAAGAGCCTTGCAAATCAGGCCACTTTCTTAAGGAAGGATGATTTAAATTTCCCTCGCTCTCATTTCAAGCATTTACTAGACAAGTGTCTTTAACATTTTGCTCACATATCCCAATGCACTTTTTGAAAAGCTGTGTATCTTCTTTGCCTATTTTGAATTGGCATCTAAAAATGTTCATCATAAATTTAGCCTCAAAGATTTACTTTCTGATATTAAACATATCAACAATGTTTTGACCCTGCATATTTAGTTAATTCAATATATGGAAATGTCTTTCTTAATACCTACTCAGAAAAGCCAGTGCTCATTGTTAAAATAATCAGTCAAATTAGTAATCTGCTAGAAAAAATCCAACTTTGACTTTTAAAAATTTATATCCAGGTATTAATCAGGATACCTTTGACAAGTTTCTCACTTCTGGATTCAAATTCAAAGATATCAGTGGGTAGGTAATATTCAAATTCAAAGACATAGATTGATAGGTAATAGATGGATGATTGATTGAAAGATAGATAGATAGACAAGCAGGCTGTGTGTTTTTTTGACTGGATGAAATAAAGAGGTGCCTCTTTCAGTATTCCTTTCTATTCTTGTTCTTCTGGTTTTGTTCTTTCTGGACTCACCCTCAGGAATTATGCATTCTAGAACCATCCTTTTATTTAGCACTCTAGAAATCTTTTACAGTACTAAGAGCAATGTGCTTAAGGGATTAAGGAACAGTGAGAGCCATGACTGACTTTTTTTCTCCATCTGTGCTTGTGTGTGCACACTCTCTCTAGATAGATCTAGGTATAGAGATATAGAGATATACATACCTACACACACAATCACATACACATACCTCTTCCATATTTATCATTTCCTAAACTTAAGCTACCTTCTGGATTTCATGATAGCCTCCTTCTCTTAATAGCTGAGCTTCTAAGTAAACCTTTCTCTACTTCCACCCCTCAATTCATTTCTCACTCCAGTGCCATCCAGCTTAAACTCTCATCCCTCAGTGGAAATGGCTATCACCATGAACAACTAATTTCTGTATTTAATGTACTCTTCACTTTTCAATGGAAATTTTCCTTTTAGGGGTAAATAATACTGTTGAATATTCTCCCTCTCCCTTGATTTCTCTCCTTTCTTGGCTTTTTTGTAATCAAGTTCCCTTGGTTTTCCCTCCCCACCTGCTCTCCTTCCTCCTTTACTTCACTCTGTCATTGGGGGTCTCCTCTCACTCCGCTCCCTCTCCCTTCCATTTACTCTCAGACCTCCACTACCTCCTGCAGACTGACAAGCCCTAAACTTATATCTCCATCCAGAATTCTCTCCTGACATCCAGATTCATGTATTCAAATGACTGAACATCTCTACCTGGATGAGGGCAACTCCACCATCTTTTCTCCAGACCATGTTATTCCCATGTTTGGTAAAAATTCTATCATGTTCCTAGCTGTCAATGTTAAAGAAAAAAGAAACCCAAAATTCAAACATCCAATCACTCACCAATTCCTGATTCTACTTTTCAATTGTTTCTTATATTCTCTCTTCTCTCCGTCTACACTGCCATGGTATTAGGTCAAATTTTAATCATTTTCATCTGAACTACTGTAATAGCCGAATTTGCCACCCACTGTTATATGGCTAACTTTTTTTTTTCTTTTTTTTTTTTTGAGAGGGAGTTTAGCTCTTGTTACCCAGGCTGGAGTGCAATGGCGCGATCTCGGCTTACTGCAACTTCCGCCTCCTGGGTTCAGGCAATTCTCCTGCCTTAGCCTCCTGAGCAGCTGGGATTACAGGCACGCACCACCACGCCCAGCTAATTTTTGTATTTTTGGTAGAGACGGGGTTTCACCATGTTGATCAGGATGGTCTCGATCTCTTGACCTTATGATTCACCCACCCTCGGCCTCCCAAAGTGCTGGGATTACAGGTTAGATGGTTAATTTTCTAATTAGTCATGTGGCTCACGTCACTTCCTTGTTGAAGATTTCTCAAAAGTTCACGTTGCCTCAATGATAAATGCACAGGAGAGAGGGAAGTTCTTAATGAGAGATGTGATCAAGCAGAGATCTTCTTCAGGAGCTTGTCTTTCCCTCAAGACAAGTAAAAAGAAGGCTGGAGTCAAGGAGTATTCAGAGGGTAGGTGACGTTCGAGAGAAATGGAACAGGAAGAAACTCTTTTGGGAGCCTTGCATCTAGTTTAGACCTTGGGGCCAAGGACAAAGAGAGAGATGGGCTGGGTCATGTTTTAGGGTGCTTGGATAGGAGACCAGCCAGATATTCAGGAAAGAAAGTTCATGTGAGAATAAATTTGAAAATACTGAAAAATCTTTTAAGCCCAATAATAATTAGAGAGATTTGGAGTCGAAGTCCACAGCAAGGCAAGACATACTTCATATACAATAGCAGCACTAAGTAGAAACAGTATCTATCAAAATGGCAACTCACCAGTGATAATATTAAATTCTACATTTAAATATAGATTTTCAATGACCATTGAGAGGTAATCAGTATCTATAACATCCTTTTCTAGGAAAGGGAAAGGTCTATAGTTATTATTATATTAGTTACAACTATTTAGCAATATTCATCTTAGTATTCATCCTTTCTACCAAATTTGTTGATTTGCCAAATATAGTCTCAATTTCGAAAAAATAATTTTTAAGCCTATGAATTTTTTTTTTTTTTTTTTTTTTGAGACGGAGTTTCGCTCTTGTTACCCAGGCTGGAGTGCAATGGAGCGATCTTGGCTCACGGCAACCCCCACCTCCTGGGTTCAGGCAATTCTCCTGCCTCAGCCTCCCGAGTAGCTGGGATTACAGGCACGCGCCACCATGCCCAGCTAATTTTTTGTATATTTTTTAGTAGAGACGGGGTTTCACCATGTTGACCAGGATGGTCTCGATCTCCTGACCTTGTGATCCACCCGCCTCGGCCTCCCAAAGTGCTGGGATTACAGGCTTGGGCCACCGCGCCTGGCCGCCTATGAATTTTTAATAACAGTTTATGTAAATGCTTAGGTGTTTCTGAGCGGATTAATTTTAAAAATGTTATGTGATATTTCATTCCTTACATTATCTCTGTTTAAGTCAGTTCTGCTAGTTCATGTGGGTGTGTGTCTTTAAGATGGTTAGTATTCCTTAAATATTCAGTGATCTTTGATTGTTTAAATTTATGAATGAAGGAGTGGGCTGATTAGTTGAAGTAACTGATGAAGATTATCCTTCAAGGATTTGTATCAATCTTTCCCCAGTTGGCTTCTTTCTTTCTTTCTAAACAATATTACTTAAATTTTATACTTTAAAAAATATATTTGAACTTTCATAAAAATCATATATTTCTGCAAGCTTTTATTTTGTTCAACATATTTGTGATATTGATATTGATGAATACATTGCCAAAATACATTGATTTTTTTCACTGCTGCATTGTATAACACAGTGTGATTCCTGTAGATTGACATTTGAGATCCTTTATATTTTTTTGCTGTGGTAACAAATTATTAACGAGTTTATAATAGGTCTCCTCTATTCCAAACACATATTAAAACTCACTTTTAATAAAATACTATATTTAGGATGATATTTAGAGTCAAGTTAAATTTGTTATAGAACTGTCCTTTATATAAAAATATACAACAGGACCTGGGCAAGATGGCTGAGTAGGAACAACTCCAGTATGCAGCTACCAGCTAGATCAACGCAAAAGGCAGATGATTTCTGCATTTCCAACTGAGGTACCCGGCTCATCTCATTAGGACTGGTTAGACAGTGGGTGCAGCCCACAGAGGGTGTTGCCTCACCCAGGAAGTGCATGGGGTTGGGGAACCCTCTCCCCTAGCCAAGGGAAGCCTTGAAGAACCCTGCAGTGCATTCCGGCCCAGATACTATGCTTTTCCCACAGTCTTCACAACTGGAAGACCGGAAGATTTCCTTGGATGCCTACACCATCAGGGTCCTGGGTTTCAAGCACAAAACTCAGTAGCGTTTGGGCAGACACTGAACTAGCTGCAGGAGATTTGTTTTTGTTTTTGTTTTTTCATACCCCAGTGGTGCCTGGAATACCAGTGAGACAGACGGTTTACTCCCCTAGAAAGCAGGCTGAAGCCAGGGAGCCAAGTGGTCTAGCTCAGCGGATCCCACCCCCAATGAGCCCAGCAAGCTACGATCCACTGGCTTGAAATTCTCACTACCAGCCCAGCAGTCTGAAGTTGACCAGGGATGCTCAAGCTTGGTGCGGGGAGGGGCATCCACCATTACTGAGGCTTGAGTAAGCGGTTTTTCCCTCACAGTGTAAACAAAGCCACCTGCAATTTTGAACTGGGCGGAACGCACCGCAGCTTGGCAATAGAACAGTCACGTTTCCCCCATGGCTGCACTCTCTCTACATAGCAGGCAAATGCAGACAGTTTTCTTATCCCCCAAGAGACAAGAACAGTCAACTTGTTCTCACTTTGATTTACCTGAGGTGTTTGCTTCAATTGTACTAATCAGCCAGAACTTGGTAAGCACTGCCATCTTGGACTAGTTTTGCTTGGCAGTTTAAAACTAACCAGAAAAAAAGGCATTGCTCCAAAATTATTTTGGCATAAACACTGCACCACACTCTCTCCCACCAGATAAATCTGACTTTCAATAAACCAAAAGCAATTAGTAACCTGTGGTGGCATTTTTCAGTATAGTATTAGAGGCTCTAGAAGAGATTGACTCGCCGTCTGTTCTTACCTTGGCATTTTCGATGCATGGACAAAGCGCCCACGCTGCACTGGCCTTCACGTCTGGGTGAGGATTTTTCAGCAGGGACCACAACAAACGAACTCCATCTAAGCGATCAATTATCCTATTGTGGAGCCCAAAATCATGATACAAACTGTCATTAGTGTGTGAAGACAAACATTTTAATGATCCCCTTATTTACACAATTCTAATTATTCTTTCTCCTTCGACATTTCGCTTAGATTTTTTTTTTTTTTTTTTTTTTGCAAAGCTTCATCAGCAGTAGGGAGGTAACATGCTGTTGCCAGGCACAGTGGCTCACGTCTGTAATCCTAGCACTTTGGGAGGCTGAGGCGGGTGGATCACGAGGTCAAGAGATCGAGACCATCCTGGTCAACATGGTAAAACCCCGTCTCTACTAAAAATACAAAAAAGATTAGCTGGACACGGTGGTGCATGCCTGTAATCCCAGCTACTCAGGAGGCTGAGGCAGGAGAATTGCCTGAACCCAGGAGGCGGAGGTTGTGGTGATCCGAGATCGCACCATGGCACTCCAGCCTGGGTTACAAGAGTGAAACTCCGTCTCAAAAAAAACCTGTTGAATTGTCAGCCCTCTGATTTCAGTTTTAAATCCATGACACAGAAAACAAGCTGCATAATGATTGCGATTCACATAAACTGAAAATCAAGCCACGTAATTTTTAATTAGCTGTATGCAGACTGTTACCTAAATGTAAAAATACTGGTTTCTTTCATATAGTAACATCTAAATACTTTCCAAAACAAATATTTATGCCTCAAAACTGTGCAGTTCCCTTTTTTATTTGGTCTATGTTTAATTGACTTACCTTACTGAATGACATACTTTAAACGCTTTCAGTCCTAATCTAGCATTAGGAATTAAAATCATTACACCACAGTGCATCCTTTGTTGGGCATGAATAACACGTAACTTGTTTTCCATGTGCAGCCTTCCCAGCAAGACTAACATTGCAGACTGTGTTATAATTACTTAAACACACTGTAATCAAAATATCTTCATGACTAGCTGAAAAATGAATTATCATCAGAGCCATCTCTACACCATCTGTCTTCTGTTTATATATCAATCAGTCCAGGAGCATAACCTCGCAGTAAGGTCCACTGGGTACTCACAGTGGAGAAGAAGGCCGAACAAAATTTAATAACCTTTACAAACATGGCTTTGTTCAGAAAGGTGTATTAAACTCAAAGCAGATGAAAAAAGATAAAGGCCATCAAAATTCCTTTGATTTTTTTAATCTCAAGTTGAATTAAACACATGTAGTATTGAGCCACAGATAGAATAAATACAAGCTTAAAATGCCGTTCAAATTCTTCCTTGAAAATTGACATAAAAATATCTACATGTCTTGATTATCTTAGATGAGTTTACCAGTGGGGAAAATGTATTATTCCAAAGTTTTCAAGTAGGATATCAGTTTTGCATAACCTTATAAAATTGGTGATGTTGAAAGGGCATTGAAAGAAAAATTGTGATGCAGATAGCCTATAGCGGGATAAAAACAGACTAAAAAAGGACTTCTAATAAGAAAAAAATACCCATAAAAAGTATTTTAAAGCAAATCTTAAGTAAATAGGTCTTCAAACCTTAAACTTTCATACCATGCTGAGAGAAAACAAAGTTTTATTTCTCAATTTATGGAAACTCTAAAGAAACATACTGGCACTTCACAATAAAGGATTTGCTTTTCAAGTTTAAATTAAAAAGGCATATTGCCTTCCATATGCTACTTAAAATATAACTAATGCCAATATCTGAGCCTCTGTTTTTTTCATATAAAATATCACAGTGAACAATAGTGAATAATAAATACTCTGCCCTATCTTCTTGCAATTTCGCAGCAAATTTGGCATTAGTAATATTTAACTGTGTACTGCTGACCAGAAATAACTCATCATAATAGTGGAAGTCATTTGGATGGCATAAATTTGCAATAAAAAATATTATCATTCAATCTAGGACAAAATTTCACAATTAACTTTAAAACAAGTTCTAGATAAAATTTCACAATCAACTATAAAAATTCACTATCATTGTAAAACTAGATCTATCATTTCCCATTTCCACCCAAACCCAAGGCAATTCATCAGCAATTGAGTTATGAGTGAAGATTTTGATCCCATTACTGGTATCTTAAAAGAAGACTCAGAGGCAGGGCCCGGTGACTCACACCTGTAATACCAACACTTTGGGAGGCCAACGCAGGCAGATCACTTGAGGTCAGAAGTTCAAGACCAGTCTGGCCAATGTGGTAAAATCCTGCCTCTACTAAAAATACAAAAATTAGTCAGGCATGGTGGCACACGCCTGTAGTCCCAGATACTCAGGAGGCTGAGGCAGGAGAATCGCTTGAACCTGGGAGGTGGAGGTTGAAGCAAGCCGAGACCACACCACTGCACTCTAGCCTTGGTGACAGAGTGAGACGCCATTCAAAAAAAAAAAAAAAAAAAAAACCTCAGAACAGTACAAAGTGATAACTTCCTATGAGGAGAGCATGACTGAAAAAAAAATTGCCAACATAGGAACCAACAAACTCGGGAGTAGTAAACTTCAGAGTTAAACTTTATCCCTTCCATCTCCCTTGTGCCCTGCATGAACTCATTTATTGCTGAGTTTTACTTCACAATAACTCAAATATCTGTCCATTTCCCTGTTTTCTATTTTAGCACCCAAATCCCAGTCTTTACCATTTATTCTCAAGATCGTTATGTGGGGTGCATAACTTCGTTTTCTGTCTTCAACTTTTCTCAATTTCAATCCATTTTACAAATACCTGCAAAATTAATTTTCCCAAAGACACTTTTAGAGTTCCTGCAATGACTCCTTGAGAGCAGGGTGCCAGGATATTCATGACACTAGGTAGCACAATGATTCAGACTTGTTAAACAATTCACAACCCAAAGATCACTCCTAGGGAAAAAATTCTCCAGTGGCTTCCTGTTGCCTTCATGGTATTAAATCTGCAATTCAAGAGCTCGGTATTTAAATTTTTTAGGGAGCTGGAATTTCTCATAAGACTCCTTGACTATCTACTAAACACTAAGTACTAGGCATACAGATACAAATAACAGATACATTTGGGCCGGGCACAGTGGCTTACGCCTGTAATCCTAGCACTTTGGGAGGCCAGGGTAGGTGGATTGCATGAGCTCAGGAGTTCGAGATTAGCCCAGGCAACAAAGGATCCTGTCTCTACAAAAAAAAAAAATAAAAATAAAAAATACAGAAAAATTAGCCAGGTATGATGGCACATGCCTCTAATCTCAGCTACTTGGGAGGCTGAGGTAGGAGGATGGCTTGAGCCCAGAAAGCAGAGGTTGCAGTAGGCAGAGATTGTGCCACTGCACTCCAGCCTGGATGACAGAGCCAGACCACGTCTCAGTGGTCTGATTTTTTTTTTTTAATTGAATCAGCCAATCAAAAAAAAAAAAAAACGACAGATACGGTCAATTCTCATCAGGGGAAGTTATGTTCTATCAAGTCACTGCAAACCTTAGATGAACAAATACTGAACCTCTCTCCCAGGGGGAAATATAAAGTGAGTTTCCATGAGCCTCTGGTCAGAATGTTTTCATCAACCAATCAATATTTAACATGGTTTCACATGTATTTCTCTTTAAAGACACCTTAAACCTTATTTAATATAGATTGTTGAATCATGAATATTGGACTTATAGCCAATAGTTCCATAACTTGTGCCTGAATGGCATTTAGAGAATACACAGATTTTTTCCAAAAGTAACATCACAACCTTCCTGCACTTAGGAACACTGGGCAGCACGTCAGTACTATGCTTAGGGGCCATATTAAAACAGCAAAATCACCATCCCAGAGCACAAACGGTGAAAAACATGTCACTAAACAGACTGTCAAATGGATGACCTGTTCGCAGTGTGAGAGCTGGAATGAAAAGTCAGAGTGTCACCTTTTCGGACTTCAGCGGAGAACATGTGCACCAGGCGACTCAAAATGTGTCCCTGCTCCACACGTGTCCAGGTATAACAGTGCAAGTGATGTGAGTATTGATTTAGGGGTAATAAATAAAGTTTAGAGACCGTATGAATTTATCAACTCAGAATCTGCAAATAATGAAGACTGACTGTATTTTAATTAACCACTGGGAAACTGCAGTCTCGTGAGGGTGATAAACAGACCACTGTAATCTGTAATAAATGTGCAATAAATGTGAGCGTGGGGTTTCTCATGAACACAGAGAGAAGACACCGGTTTACTCGTAGACCACAGAGATTCTCCCCCTGTTATGCACTTTCCAACTACAGCTGTTTCCCAGCCATGTCCGTATTTTACTATAATAATCCATCACTTAAGGTCTACAACAAAACCTCTTTCACAAATCCTCTGGCATCCTCCTCCTTTAAGCTTCTTTTAAATTTTGCTCTCCCTTTTCCTGCCCCTCATACCATGTTACTTTGCCTTGTAGTCATGTGTTGTGTGCTTCTTATCTCCCCAATTACCATGTAATCTCCTTGACAGCAGGAATTCTGTATTTCCCACCACACTCCCAGCAGGCTACCACACCAGTGAATATTGGTGAACTGGATCTGAAACAAGACAGCCTTTGCTTATTCTTTTTCAATGAATTAAAAATCTCTCCCAACACAAGCACATTCCTCCTTAAACCTCATACTTATAAAATACATATTCAAATTATAAATCTAAGCAGTAAAGTTTTCATTTGAAGTTGTCTCTAAGTGGAAGGTGTATTTTCCTAGAATTTCTTGACAATTTCATTGCTTTCTACATATACAGTGATGGGCTTACAGGTGGTGTTAATTTATAGCACTGCCCATTTTCAACAAGTCTATCCCTTATATAGTTCTTTAATTTGATTAGCATCTTGCTCTGAATTCATTTCCAGCTACAGTATGGTAGCTCTTCTCATTTTGTATGTTAATACAACCCTACATTAACTTCTTGAAATTATAAAAACAAAACTGAATTACATGCTTTTTTTTATTTTTGAGACAGAGTCTCCCTCTGTCACCAGGCTGTAGTGCAATGGCATGATCTCGGCTCACCGCAACCTCCACCTCCTGGGTTCAAGCGGTTCTCCTGTCTCA